AAAAATAAAAGGAAAAGGAAAAAAAAAAAAAAAAAGTCCCCGACCCCATGCACGTGTGCATGCTAATGGAAACACCATGCGTCGGGTGCACCTACATAGGAAAAATGACAATTGCGATACACATGTCAGATATCGCTACGTGCGCAAGAGTTGGAGCAAGAATTCTCTGGCCAATATTCATGGCTAACTCTAAACTGATGACTGGGTATGTATATGTATATCACACTAAACAGGGTGTCATCTACAGCCAAGCAATCCGATACCACCGCATTTGCTCTGACACTGAGGACAGAGACAAACACCTGAGCACTCTGGCTGATGCATTTCGGCGAACGGGCTACAGAGAAAAGACTATTTCTAAAAAAAAAATGTACCCTAAGAACACCACGGGATTATATATATAGTTGTATTTTTTTGTCCAAATTTGGTGTGTTATTTTAAATAAAAAGTTTGTTTATTTTATATTGGTTGGAGTTTTTCAATTCAGATTTTAAATCCATGAAAACTACCGTATTTTTCGCTCCACAAGACGCACTTTTTTCCCCCCAGAAGGCGGGGGAAAATGTGTGTGCGTCTTATGGAGCGAATCCCTATCACGCGACGCCCGGGACATGCAGTTTCGGGCACCGGGCGAGTAGTTTTTTTGTACATTCAGCCCTGCTCCGGACAAGCAGAGCTAAATGTACAGTGGGAGCCGCTGCTCGTTTAATACAAGTGATCTATTCAGATCACTTGTATCAAATAGAGCGGCGGTGGCGGCGATCGTGTCCGCCCCCCACCGCCACCCCCCCACCCTCCCCGACGTGGTTCTCAGAGTGAGCTCCTTTGGTTCTCTATGGCCTCCTATGAGGCTCTATGGTGAGCTCCACGGCATAGGGCGTCCGTTCTTCCTCTGCTCTGTGTGATTACTGAGACCGTGGCGCTGTAATCACAGCGCCACCTGTCTCAGCTGTGACTAGCTACAGCTGTCACAGAACCCCTGCGTCCTATGGTTCGGAGCTCCTTATAGAGCGCAAAATACGGTAATTAAAATGTCTAATGTAATACATACATTTAAAAAAAAAAAAAAAA